AACAACAACAACAACAACATTGTTTTGTTAAATAAGGGATAGTTTAAAAAATTTTCATAATAAACTTTTATGAAATCTATAAAAATAAAATGACAGTTTGGTTTTTCAGGAAAGGATTCTTTTCTATTAAGATTTTTCCATTTAAAATATATTCTAAAAAAGAATTTTACTACATCACAGACACTTGAAGAAAACTGTTGTTGTAGTTGTCAGGTACTGTCATGTTGACTGACTCCTAGCGACTCTGTGGACAAATCTGCATCTTGCCAAGTGCTGTACCTACCATCCTCACTGTCTCTGATATGCTCAAGCCTATTTTGAATATCATGGTGTCAGTTTCTCTTGTTACGGGTCTTGCTCTGGCCTGACCTTGCCATATTCCCCAGCATGATATATTTTAAAATTCTCTTAATAAAAATTAATTTATGTGCAGTAATTTTTATTAAAAGCCATATAATATTTCATGGTAGAACTAGAACAGTTTGATCAGAATCTATAAAAATTGTTCATCAATTTTCTACTCTTTAAATAGGCCTCCCCTACTCCCTAAATAAAAGTAACCTTACACATTTTAGGATTTTGTTGTTCCCTCTTCTTCAATATGAAATGATCTTTCGGGGAATTATTTACAGTATTGTGACCTGAAGATCTTTAAGAAGTTAGTGTGGCTATATTTAGGCAAAAATTCTAAGAATTCATGATTTTTCTTTTTTTAGAGAAATACTGTTTTGTTCATTGTAGTATGTCTCTTTTGGCCAGAGAGCTTGTTAATTCTTCATCTTTAGCCCTCCACATAATTTAATACCAAATGATTGAAAGACCTTTTTGAAATTATGTATAACTTGTCGAAGTCAGTCACTTTTACCTAATTTCCCGCTCATCATTCTCCTCTCAATTCTAATTATATTTATTTATTATCTAAACAATAGTAGTAGTTGTTGTTGTTATTATTGTTGTATGCCCTTGAACTGACTCATAGCTGATTCTCCAGTGGGTTTTTAGATCCAGTGAATTGCACAGGAAGAGAGTGCTCATCTTTCTTTTTCTTCTGTGGAGCAGCTCATGGACTTGAACCACATACCTTTGGGATTTTAGCACAGCTTCTTACCACGAGGCCACCAGAGTTCCCTTAAATAATGCTAGTGAAATAAAATTAAAGTGAGAATTTAATTCTATTTTTTTTACACAATTGAACATGAAAACTTGCCAGAGCTAAATTCATGGATATTAGCTCTACACGGAAGCATTGTTTCATTAACTTTTTTTAAAAAGCAGTTGGTCTTACTAAGTATGTTTTGGGGTTTGTCATGTTTCCCCATCCCCTCCCCACCCCATTTATGACACTCTCTTTCATTTTTCTCAATACATTCACCTTAG